GTGTGTGGTGTGGGGGGGGGTGTGGGGGGGTGTTGGGGTTGGAACAGAAGCCATGAGGAGAAGGTAGCAGAGGAGTAAGAAGAACAGCACCATCCTGTCCCTGTATTGGCTTGTGTTGTTCTTTGTTTGCCATGGCAGGGCCTTTGCTCCCAAAGCTTTTGTGCTCCATGGGGTGAAAACATAAGCATCTGCTCATTCAGCCGCATGGGCCGGGCTGGTACCCACCTTTCTTGGATAGCCTGGTGACTGTACTTGGGTGCCTTTGCCCTCTTTGTTTTCAACATCCTTCTATAGAAACCACATCATTACTAAGAGGATACAGGACAGGGACATTCATGTCTGATAAGTCACACACCCAGCCCACGGCCTCCTCACATTTGAAACCACTTAGCTGAGTGCTGAGCTAACATGGGTCAAAGTCAATCACCTCTCTTTAGGAGCCTGAAATTCTTTCAAGTGGGTCAGCAATTGGAGAGCCCTGGGCTTTGTTTTATGAAAGTCTCACTCTGTAGGCCAGGCTAGCCTCAAACTCAAGGTCTTGTACCTCAGCTTCATGTCCTGAGATTATAAGTATGTGCCACCATACTTGGCTCTCTTCTGCTTTCTCCAGGCCTGTGGCTCTGACCTTTACCTCGTTAACATATGGAAGATAGGCTCTTTTCATTGTGAAGTTTTCTAAGTTGGGTATGGTAGCAGACATTGATCATCCCAGCCATTGGGAGGCTGATGCAGAAAGATTAGGAATTCAAAGCCAATATTCTGGTTTCTCTTCAGCTCCTATAGATACTTCATTAAAGAGGGTTCAAAACCAGGCTGGGCAACGTTAGCAATACTCTGACAAGAGAGAGAGAGAGAGAGAGAGACAGAGAGTTTTGGGACAGGATCTCTCTAGCTCCCTCTAACCTATGGTCTCAAATTCACAGTCCTGTCACAGTCTCCTAAGCACTGGGATTAGAGGCATGCACCAGCACTCCTAGCAGTTAGCTCATTCCCAGAAAGGAGGAAAGGTGTAAGGAAGGGAGGGGAAGAAGGAGGAGGGAGGGAGGGAGGGAGGGAGGGAGGAGAAATGGGGTATATTTTTCTTTCTTTTTGTGAGGCTGTTTTTGGGACAGGATCTCTCTAGCTCCCTCTAACCTATGGTCTCAAATTCACAGTCCTGTCACAGTCTCCTAAGCGCTGGGATTAGAGGCATGCACCAGCACTCCTAGCAGTTAGCTCATTCCCAACCTCACTGAGTCTTAGAGAAGTAAGTAGATGCTTCTCATTGTTACCTGCCTACATCACTTGAGGCTCCAGCAGGACCACAACTCCTAGCTGCTTCAGCATCTTGAACTGAGTTGAGGATTGACAGTCTGTTCAAGGGATGGAGTTCTGTAGACTCACTTTGTCCTGTGCTTTGCTTGTGCAGATTGAAATGTGTGTTTCATAAGAAATAGAAGACAGACAAATTGTATGAAGAGTGAGCTTCTTTCTTTCAGATGCTGCATATTATACATCTGCACAGAGGCATGTGTGCAGGCATCAGTGTGTACAGATACTGTTGTGTAAGTGGTATACACAGAGTCACACATGATGCTTTAGGACAGTCGCAAACTTTTTTCAAGATTTTGTTATGGTTTGCCTACACATTCTTCCAGAACCTTGTAGAAAAAAGGCATTTATGCAGCTTTGGTGTTTTGATCATCTAAAGCTCAGTAAACTTTATTGACTGGAAATATGACATCATCCTCCTTCAGTAGTCTTGGATTTTCTCTAAATGTCAGGTTGGAGATGTGTGATCTGCAGAGCCAGAGCATGGCTCCCTACAGATCTCCTTTTCTCCCCCACCCCACCCTAGGCCCTGATCCTGAAGGAGCTATCTGTGATCCGGGACCACGCTGGCAGTGCCTGCCTCCGAGAGCTGGACAAGAGCAATAGCCCCCTCACCATGGCCCTGTGTGGCTCCAAAGGTGTGCTGAGCCCTCTGGGCTGGGACCTGGTTACTATCAGTGTGTGCTCCCCACAGGGCACATAGTCCTAGAACACATGCCTTCTATAGCTGTAACTTCAAGAAGCTCTTCATCTCCTTAAATGCCTTTCTGTTTAAATCATAGAGTGAGCCTTAATTATTTACATTTGAGGAAGTTTAACTCCTTTTGAGAAACTGGTTGGTAATATGGGTGGATTTCTGAGTTTGAGAGTACTTTGAACAAACTCGATGTTAAAAATAAGAAAGCTAGGGGAATTTGGGGCTGGAGAGATGGCTTAGTAGTTAGGAACACTTGCTGTTCTTGAAGACCCAGCTTCAGTTCCCAGCACCCACATGGTAGCTCACAACTGCCTGTAAATTCAAATTCCAGGGGATCCCACACCCTCTTCTGGTCTACTCAGGCACTAGACACTTGTACTGTACATATGCATACAGTCACTCACACATGCACATAAAATAAATCTTTTTTTAAAAAAAGAAGAAAGGGGTCTGGAGAGAGAGCTCAGTGGATAAGAGCAATGGCTGTTCTTGCAAAAGACCCAGGTTCACTTCTGAGCACCCACATGGTGGCCAACAACTGTAGCTCCAGTTCCAGGAGATCCAATGCCCTCCTCTGGCCTCCGTGGCCATTGCACTACACAGGTTCATTTACACACATGCAGGCAGTATATTCATACACAAAAAACTAGTAAATAAATAAAGCTAGAAATTATTTACTAATATATTTAGTGATGTGGCGTTTTTGTGGTACTGAGGATCAAATCCAGGGCCTCATGCATGCTAGGCAATGCTCTTTCCCTGAGCTATAGCCCCAGTCCCAGATGTGGCAAAATTCTTTTCTTTTTCGTCGTTTTGAGACAGAGTCTCCCTGTAGCCCCAGCTGTCCTGGAACTCACTATGT